CAGGTCGAGGCTGCGGTGGCTGGGAGCGGCCGCTGCACTCCATTCTGGGTGACAGAGTGAGACTCCCCCTCAAAAAAAAAAAAAAAAAAGACGCAGTGTCCCTGCAGGGGAGCCGAGGGGGGTGCGCCGTGAGGCTTCCAGCCTGACAGCTGCACCCGGGCGCAGAGAGGAAGCCTGCGGAGGGGTCGTCCCAGAGGGAGGGCTTGAGGGGACGCGGACGGATGGGACACGGGCATCAAGGGTACGGGGCCTTAAGGCCTTGAAACAGGTACGGCTCAAGCGGGTCGCCACAAAGCCGAGGGAAATACGAACGGCACCCGCGGGGAGGGAGGAAACACGACTCCCTTCACCTGCCAATCGTCGAGGGCCGGGGCGCTGGGAGACTCCTTGGTAACGTCGCAGGCGGAAATGACGTAACGGGTTCCGGTATGAGCTCCGCCCTCTGGCTTCCGCCTTCTGGGCCCCGCCCGCCCTTTAGGTGCCGCCTGTAAAAGTCCCGCCCTCTGGACCCGCCCCCAGGCCCCGCCCCCTAGACCCCGCCCCCCCCAGACCCCGCGCTGTCACCACCCCCCGACATTTCCAGGTCTTGGAATCCAAAGCAGTGTTACCGCCAGTGAGGACTGCTGGCTCTGTTCCGAGCCCTCCTTGATTGTCAGTGGCTTTGAGGCAAAGGCTTTTGGAAAGGACACCAAAGTGATTGCCAACGACGTTGGGCTCAATATATTATAAAACCCCGTCACTTCAACCACGGACCTTACAGATGTTGGAGAAATGCGGCGAATTATTTTCAGTTTACCTTATTCCGTTTATTCATTTGACAAGAAGAGAACTGATCCTTCTGGCGCTTTGGCAGGTCTTGTTCAAGGTCAAAGAATAAGTGACTAATAAACTGCAGTCCGCTGTTATTTCTAAGTGTGAGCTCTTTAGCTGGTAAAGCCAAACTACTTTGTTGCTGTTGCTGTTGTTGTCGGAGTCTCGCTCCGTCGCCCAGGCTGGAGAGCCATGGCACACTCAGGCCACCCCAGCGACGACCCGCTGGGCTCCCGCGAGCCTTTCGCCTCCGCCTTCCAAGGAGCCGGAACTACAGGCGCCCGCCACCGCGCCCGGCTGACTTTTGATTTATTGTGGAGATGCGGTCTCGCCAAGGTGCGAGGGCTGTTCTCGAACCCGCAGGCTCAGGCCATCCACTCGCCTCGGCCTCCCAAAGTGCCGGGATTAAGGCTGATCCACCGATCGCGGCATAAACTACTTTGCTTTTTGTTTTGTTTTGTTTGGGTTGGAGTCTCACGCTGTCGCCCAGACTGGAGTGCCGTGGCCGCTCCCGGCCACCGCGGCCTCGACCCGCCGGGATCCTTCCGCCTCAGCCTTCCAGGTAGCCGGAATTACAGGCGCGCGCTACCACGCCCGGCTGATTTTTTGATTGATTGCAGAGAGGAGGTCTCGCTGCCCAGGCGGGTCTCGAACCCGCGGGCTCAGGCCATCCACTCACCTCAGCCTCCCAAAGGCGCGGGATGACAGGCGGAGCCACCGAGCCTGGCTCATAAACTACTTTTTTAAAGTGGAAAACAGATGACCTCTCAAATGAGTTTTCAAATAGCCTTAAATTATGCAAGTACTATATCTATATAGTGTATCTATAGCAAGATGGGCTTGCTCGAATTCTGAATATAACACCTTGACAATGCTTTACTTGGTCACACATTATTGCAATGTAAAATAATCTTGTTCAGAAAGGCCCAGTTCTACTATTCCCCACTTTCCTCTTGCTTATGCATGAGATGTAATTAGTTTGTTAAGAAGATAAACTTCTAGAGAAAAAAAAAAACACCCCCGCAAAATGTTTGTACATAAGAAATTCCCTGTAGTTAATTCAGTGACTCATTGAGTTTCCAGACTTCTTTAAAATTATCATCATTATCATAAGCAAATGGTGAGCTTTCATTCCTCTTCATGTAATTACCCGGATGCTTTAATACACAATTATGAATGATAAATTGTAAAAATATAGCCATGGAAACATTATGTATACTTGTACCTAATTTTTAGTCTAATAGAAAATAAGTTTAAGCCTGTAATCCCCGCACTTTGGGAGGCTGAGGTGAGTGGACTGCCTGAGCCCACGGGTTCCAGACCCGCCTGGGCAACTTGGCGAGACCTCATCTCTACAATAAATCAAAAAAAATTAGCCGGGCATGGTAGCGCGCGCCTGCAGTTCCAGCTACTTGGAAGGCTGAGGCAGAAGGATCACCGGAGCCAGCAGGTTGAGGCTGCGGTGGCCGGGAGCGGCCCTGCACTCCAGTCTGGGTGACAGAGTGAGACTCTGACTCAAAAAAAAAAAAAGAAAAGAAGTTAGAAGTTTAAACATTTAAATTCAAAACTACACAACAATGTGAATGTACTGAATACCACTGGTCTGTACACTTAGAAGTGGTTAGAATGATAAATTTATATATATTTTTTTTACCATAACTTTAAAAAGTAAATTTAAAAACCACAAAATTTAGCCAGTAAATACTTCAGAACAAACATTTCTAAATGTAGAGAATGAAACTTTAAACTACATTTAAGGTATACTACCTTGTTTATATATTACTTTTAAAATAAGCTCTACATATATTTAATGAAGTGCTTATCTGGATTATTTTAAAAAGCACTTACAATAGTACTATTTGAGTACTTATTAGGTTACCTCTAACCTGGTCCAGAAAAATGCAGCAATTTCTACATAATAGGCTCAAACCTTTTCTTACTGCTCTAATACATGTAAAAATCATTCAATTCTTCAAAAGAGAAAGTATCTTTCTTTAAAGTAGCCACAAGGGATCACTAATTCTCAAAACCCTCAAGTGTTATGTTTATTCATTTGTATGCACCTGCATAAATCTAGGAATAGTTTACTAAGAAACAGAGCTCGGAAGAACTTCTGGGTAATTTCACAGAAATCTTTCCTTCCTTCCTTCTTTCTGTTTCCCTCTCCACTCGTTCGCTCTCTCTTTTTTTTGTTTTTGTTTTTTTTTTGAGTTAGAGTCTCACTCTGTCGCCTAGACTGGAGTGCAGTGGCCGCTCCCGGCCACCGCAGCCTCGACCCGCTGGGCTCCAGCGATCCTTCCGCCTCAGCCTTCCGAGGAGCCGGAATTACAGGCATGCGCTACCACACCCGGCTGACTTTTTGATTTATTGTAGAGATGAGGTCTCGCTGCCCAGGCGGGTCTCGAACCCTCGGGCTCAGGCAATCCCCTCACCTCAGCCTCCCAAAGGCGCGGGATTACAGGCTGAGCCACCGAGCCCAGCTTGCTCTCTCTTTTTTAAATCGTGTTTCATCATTTTTATACATTTATAATATGTAGTATTATATTTATGAAATTAATATGCTTTCTTTCTACTACGAAGGCAAAGATTTTTCTTTAGAAACCACGTGAAGATAAGAGATAAGGAAACAAAATGCATTTGAGAAAGGAATAAATATTTATAGTGCAGTGAGAGGGGAGTCACAATTATTTTCCTTTTCTTTCCTCTGCTGCTTTGGCACCAGAACAGACTTCAACAGTAGACAACACAGCCCCTGGATGTGAGAACAGAATCTTTGAAAATTGTGGAAAATATCTCATGTAGTAGAAAACCACAATGTCACACATGAGGAGTGGGTATGGTCAAAGGCACACAGGTCCTGCAGTGTCTCCCAGCACTTTGGGAGGCCGAGGCAAGAGAATTGCCCGAGTCAGGGGTTCAAGACCAACCTGGGCAACTCATCTCTACAGTAAATCAAAAAATTAGCCAGGCATGGTGGCACGTGCCTGTAGTTCCAGCTATTTGGAAGGCTGAGGCGAAAGGATCGCCTGAGCCCAGCAGGTTGAGGCTGCAGTGCCTATAAGAGTGCCACTGCACTCCAGCCTGGGTGACAGAGCGAGATCTCAACTCAAGACCACACACACACAAAAAAGAAGGAAGCTAGAGATACCTTTAACAGGCATCAATTCTCCTGTTGAGGTTTAGCAATATGAAGACGATGGGCGAAGGAGTTGGCACCTTTTGCTAATTATTTGCACAGGAATCTGTCCTGCTTACCCCAAAGACTCTTGTTAAGGGTTTCCCTGCGCTGTCTTAAGAAGGGCTTATTAATCCACAATGCTGGTAGCAATGAATGAGTGTACAGAAATCAAGTTCAGGGCCCATTCTAGGTCTGTGAATTAGAATTTCCCGTATTCCTGCCTTAATATGTGAATATCCTTATTAAGTGATACAGAATTCTCTCCTTTTTATAGGACAATTTAAATTTGTTAGCAAGAGTTGTGTAATATTGCCGGGATGTCCTGCTAAACGGCTCTCAAAAACAAAACAACTCTACCAACCAATCAATCCCTGATTTGTAGCATTTGCCAATTTCTGGTGCTTAAAATACTCTCACCACAGGCAATTTGAAGGAACTCGTGTGAGGTCTTTAAATGTGAAGCTGGAAGCAAAATGCACAGGAGAGCTGGTAGGAATGAGGTAGGCTCCAGGTCATCACTGACTCGGGCACTTGGTTTTTAGGGAAGTTGTGGACTCAGCTTTGCCATTGCAGCACCGTGATGCTTGGATACCTGCACCTTAAAGGCTACTTTCTATTACTGTTCAATCTTAAATGAAATCGTTATGTAAATCTAAATTGTACCTTATGTAACACATATTCTGACCTGACACAGTGTCTCACGCCTGGGAGGCCAAGGCGAGAGGATTGCTTGAGCCCAGCAGTTCGAGACCAGCATGGGCAACGTAACGAGACCTCATCTCTACAAAAAATAAAAAAAGTTATCTGGGCGTGGTGGTGTGGGACTGTTGTCCCAGCTACTTGGGAGGCTGAGGTGGAAAGATCGCCTGAGCTCAGGAGTTGGAGGCTGTAGTGAGCCGTGATTGTGCCACTGCACTCCAGCCTGCATGACGGAATGAAACCCTGACTCCAGAAAGCAAACAAACAAAAAACAACATATTCTAGCGTCTAGAGGGAACAGAAACCTTCATTGTGATGTCAAGAACAGAATCTTGTTATAATATTTTTCCCTTTAAGTAGCCATGCCACCAAGACTATCCCAAATCAGGGAGTCAATTGGTAAATCGCTCCCATTTAATTAATTAATCTATTTTTTGAGTTGGAGTCTCACTCTGTCACCCAGGCTGAAGGACAGTGGCATGCTCCCGGCCACCGCGACCTCGACCTGCTGGGCTCAGGCGATCCTTCCAAGTAGCTGGAACTACAGGCATGCACCACCATGCCCGGCTAATTTTTTGACTTACTGTAGAGATGAGGTCTCGCCAAGTTGCCCAGTTTGGTCTTGAACCCACGGGCTCAGGCAATCTTCTCACCTCAGCCTCCCAAAGTGCTGGGATTATAGGCGTGAGCCACCGTACTGGCCTACCCCCATTTTAAATAACAAAAGCATAGGGCAGAGGACAGACCATTTTCCTTAGAGGATTCTTTTAGCTCTTGTCCATGTGACAGGTATCTTCCTTTTCCTTTCCACAGCTGCAGTGCCAGTGATATAGTTATGCTGGTGATGGCAGGGGGTTTTCGTTATTCTTTGGGGACAGAAAAGTAGAGCAGATGAGATGAGATATGAAGGGGAAACAGCCTTCGTGTTTCTCTAGCTGGCTTATTGTCATCTGAAGCTTGGTATTTCCTGTTGCCCACTGGTTTACAATAAAGGTGTGGATGGTAACTCTTGGAGGTCACAGAGGGAGGCCTATTTGCTGCCTATTTGAAATATCCCCCTTCCATCAGCCCAGTCCTAAATTAGATGGGATCTGGCTAATGCTTATCTTTTTTTTTTTTTGAGTTGGAGTCTCACTGTCACGCAGACTGGCGTGCAGTGGCCGCTCCCAGCCACCGCAGCCTCGACCTGCTGGGTTCTGGCAATCCTTCCGCCTCAGCCTTCCAAGTAGCTGGAACTACAGGCACGCGCTACCACGCCCGGCTCATTTTTGATTTATTGTAGAGATGAGGTCTCGCCAAGTTGCCCAGGCGGGTCACGAACGCACATCTTTACTGAAAGGCTCAGGTATTTGTCCTGATCTTCTGGGGTAAGGGTAATATTACTACCTCAAGCCTTTCTATCAAACCTCATGGCTTAGATAGGTGGTCCTCAATTCCCAGGCCCTTGGGGGTGTTGTATTATAAAGAATATACAAGTTCCAACAGGTTCGCGAACCATCCTACAAAAAGTGTTACATACCTCATTGCTGACTATCACTAAGGTCACTTTTGAAGTACTCCCTCCCCTTGGGAAGCTAGGCACCAATGTCAGCGCCTAGTCCATGCGTTAAAGCAATTTTGGAACTCTTTTTCTGGAATGGCCATCAGAGCTGTTGTCATTATTTGTTGAGGTCTGACAAGTTCACGAACTTGCCACTGTGGGCTTACATTGTCAGCACTGTACAAATAACTGTATTGGAACACTCTCCCTACTCACCTGATCTGGTCCCCAATGACTTTTGTCTACCCCCAAAGGTAAAGGAAATATTGAAAGAAAGACATCTGATGACATTCAGGACATCAAGGGTAATACGACGACGGCTCTGATGGCCATTCCAGAAAAAGAGTTTCGAAGTTGCTTTAATGGGTGGACTAGACACTGGCATAGGTGCATAGCTTCCCAAGGGGAGTACTATGAAGGGGACCATAGGGACAATCAGCAAAGAGGTATGGAGCACTTCTTCTAGGATGAATTCGTGAACTTAATTATCAGGCCTCGTCTCTCATCTTTGTCTCTGATTCTTGGTACAGGGCTTCAAAAGCCCTTAGAATTTCCTACGGGATAGAAGTGTTTTTTCTATGTCACTGAGGTGCTTGTGGTGGACTCCAAGATAGTTTACCAATGGGTGATTAGTGGGTTGACCAAGCATGTGATTAGTGGGTTGGGACTTTTAGTAGCTCCCCACTCCCGAAATGGGGAGGGGTTGGACATGGAGTTCAGTCATGTGGCCAATGACCTTCGCAATCATGTCTGTGTAATGAGACACTGGTAAAAACCCTGGGCATCAACGCTCAGTGGAACTTCCTGTTTGGTGAACTGGAGGAGGGTGACAAGTTCTGACTCCCTGAAGAGAGGGCATGGAAACCCTGTGCTCTCTCCCAGACCTTGTTCTAAGTGTATCCTTTATAATGATGTCTCTTGAGTGGTGTGAGTTGCTCCAATGAATTATTAAACCTGAGAGGACTCATGGGAACTCCTACATTTTTAGCCAGTTGGTCATAAGTGTGGGTGGCCTGGGGTCCTCCCTTGCAACTGGTGTCTGTAAGAGCAGTCCTGTGGATGCCTTTAAACCTGGGAAGTCTTATGCTAACAGGCAAGTTAGTATCAGAATTCACCAATTGGGAGTGAAACAGAATAGGTATCTCACAAAAATATTATTTTTTTTTCTAACTCTCTTCCCCTCCTCCCCTCACTTCTGCTGTCAGGTCTTCCCACTGCCATCCCCCGCCTTCCAGAATTTGCTATTTCTTCCTATAGAATAAAGAAACCCCAATCTCTTCCTTGGGCTGAGAATTGTTGCAATGCAAGGTGTCAGCTTAAAGTTAGTGGCTTCTTTTTCCATTCAACTCTACAGAAAGGACTTGGCCTTGATCTCAGAGGCTGGACCAGCTCCCCAGGAGGCTGAAAGTGGGTGGCTGCAAGTGGTTGGGAAAGGATGAACTGTGGTTCTGGGCATTCAAGAGGGATGTCTACCCTAAGGTCAGCTAACTCGCTCCTCAACTATTTGAAGTCAGACGTACGTCACTACCACAAGGATCCTTCCTTCCAAACAAGAACTTGATTTTTCTTCTGACCTTGGCCTTGTTATACCAGGGGACCATTCATCTTCTGTCTGGACTTGTATTATTTTCATCATTCACAAAAATAATGTTAAACCTAAATATTTTTTCTCTAATATTCGATTTCTGCCCACTAGGGACGGAGTGGAGATTTTGCTTTTTTTTTTTTTGAGTTGGAGTCTCACTCTGTCGCCCAGATTGGAGTACAGTGACTGCTCCTGGCTACCGCAGCCTCGACCTGCTGGGCTCCAGCGATCCTTCCGCTCAGCCTTCCAAGTAGATGGAACTACAGGCGCGTGTTACCACGCCCAGCTAACTTTTGATTTATTGTAGAGATGAGTTCTCCCCAAGTTGCCCAGGCAGGTCTCGAACCCGCGGGCTCAGGCAATCCACTCACCTCAGCCTCCCAAAGGCGTGAGATTACAGGCTGAGCCACGGAGCCTGGCTAGATTTTGCTTCTTTATTCATGACATAATAGAATTAAAATAAGACCAATTCAGTTATAGAAATACCAGGGTTATAGATGGCTACAATCTCTTTCTTAAAAAACAAAAGGTGTCTTTTTCAAATTTGTATTTAGAAAATTTACTTTATTTTAAAAGTATATAAAATACATTCCATGACAAAGTTCTAGACATAGATTTAAGAACAGTATAATGGAAAAATATAAACATCTATTTTCTTTTCCCACTTATACTTTTGTGCATGTATTGTCTTTTCTCAGGCTGGCATTTTTGTTTGTTTTGCAATTTGATTCACTTCTAGTAAAAACAATTTAAATACTATAGAAAGGTATAAAGCAAAAGGTAAACATTCCCTTCTTTCCATCTCCTCCTCAGTATCGATGCTCCTTCCAAACTTTCAACACATTGAAAACATTTTTGTTTTCAAGCTGAAAGCCATGTAAAACTAATTCTTGTTAAAGGTTATGGTTATATTGGCAAGATGGAAAATGATCTAGGTTAAGGCTGCTCTCTCCCTATAGAATTTCTTGAGCGCTCTACTTACTTCTCAAACACAACCTTCCTGTTCCACTCCTGCAAGCTGCCCAGTTTGTCTCAACTTGTTTTTGACTTTTTTTTTGGTAGCAGGTGATATAACATTTTAAAATTTAAGATGTTTCTAATAAAACGCCATTAGCTATCAGGAGCTGGGGTTTGAAATAGAGGGCCATGAGGGAGGAAACCTTTCCTGCCTAATTTTGACAAGTCTGAAACACTATGAATAACATATGTAAAACTCAGATTCAGTAGTGTCTCAGGACGGCTTGCCCTTTACTTTTTACTTGTGCACTTTTGGCTGTGACAATTGATGGGTATTAGAGTTTGTCTTGGATACTCAGCTTTGATTAGGCTGTTCTGAAGTCTAGTTTTGTTTAGTTAAAAAAAAAAATCCTGTGTTCTTATTGTTCTTCAGTAAGAACAGATATGACCACTTTAAAATGGTTACACTGTTTTCCTGATTAAGTAAATATTTCAATTAGGGGAGTAAACTTTTTTTTTTTTTTTTTTTTGAGTCAAGAGTCTCACTCTGTTGCCCAAGCTGGAGTGCAGTGGCACACTCATGGCCACCGCAGCCTCGACCTGCAGGGCTCAAGTGATCATTCCTCCTCAGGCTTCCAAGTATCTGGAACCACAAGTGCATGTCACCATGACCATCTAATTTTTTGATTTACTGTAGACACAAGGCCTTGCCAAGTTTCCCAGGCTGGTCTCTTACCCCTGGACTCAGGCAATCCTCTTGCCTCAGCCTCCTAAAGTGCTGGGATTATAGCTGTGAGCCACCACACCCAGCGTAAATATTTTAAAATTGGGAGTGTGGGTAGCTGTTGTTTTTGGAGCATGTTCTTATTTTTATTTTTTTATTTTTGAGTTGGAGTCTCACTCCATCGCCCAGACTGGAGTGCAGTGGATGCTCCCGGCCACCGCAGCCTCGACCTGTAGGGCTCCGGCACTCCTTCCGCCTCAGCCTTCCGAGTAGCTAGAATTACAGGCGCACACTACCATGCCTGGCTGATTTCTGATTTATTGTAGAGATGAGGTCTCACCAAGTTGCCCAGGCGGGTCTCGAACCCGCGGGCTCAGGCAATTCACTCACCTCAGCCTCCCAAAGCACGGGATTACAGGCTGAGCCACCAAGCCCGGCTAGAGCATGTTCTTGAGCAAACTGAATCCTGGACTGACAGTGCTACAAGGAGTGTGTAATGAACTTCTGGACTAAGAGCCCTAAATCTTGATCATGTCCTAAAAGGCAAAAAAAAGATTTCCAGTCTATTTTTTTTTTTTACCTTTTGACAGAGATGGGCCCTTATTATGTTTTCCAGACTGGTCTTAAACTCATGGGCTCAAGCAATCCTCCCATTTTGCCTCCCAAAGTGGGAATTACAGACATGAGCCACTGCACCAGGCCCAAAGTCTTCAGCTGAGCAATGAAACCAGCAGAAATTAAGGAGTCGGTGGAGTAAGCATGAGTGCTTGCCTTTGTTGTCAGAGTATTTGGGGATCCCAAGATAACAGGTTTCCTGAAGCTTGTCATGGAGGTTTTTCAATGTTCTCAAAGATCTTTCTTAAAGCTTAAAAACAATTAAAGTTCTCCATGACTACAGTTATCTTTTATCTGTTCACTCTATGGACAATGAATGATGTCCCTGGGATGGCTCCTTCTGTGTTAATAACTGTGTCGTCCTTGACAGCTCTACAACCCAGATTAGATTGGGAATGATCAGCTTAAGGCACGATTTCTCCTTAACTTTGCCTCAGGTCTTGGCAAAATTTATTTAAAAGGATATGAGTAGTGCTTTTAAAAAAAATTCCCTCCAGTCTCCATGCTACTTTTAATAAAAGAGTCATCCTTTGCTTCCTTAATTACCCTTGTCAGACCTATCAAAAGCAGACTGCTTTTAATGAACGCCAAAAAGCAGCTTAAAGAGGAGAAATTATGCAGTAGAGAGGAGAAAAAACCCTGAACAAATATTTTCTCTTCATAATCAGAAGTGGAAGGACATGAACAAGGGATAGAAATGAATCAATACATGTTATGTAAACAGCTTCGTAAAGGCTGATTTATATTTTGGTGAGCTTTGCTATCTGCTATGATCCCTGAGTTTTCTTTTCAGAAAAACTGTGATCTGATAATAGCAGTTTTTACTCAAAATGTATTAATATTCAGCAATATTTGGTAACACTTGCTCAAATACAGGCTGAGCATCCCTCATACAAAAAAGGCAAAATCTGAAATAATCCAAAACTTTCAGCACCAACATGATACCACATAGATGGATGAGATAGTGGTGACACCTTTGCTTTCTGATAGTTTAATGTACATAAACTTGTTTCATGAACAAAAAAAATTTTATTTTGAGTTGGAGTCTCACTCCGTCACCCAGGCTGGAGTGCAATGGCACACTCACACCATCCCAGCGTTGATCTGTTGGGCTTGGCGATCCTTCCACCACAGACTTCCAAGGAGCTGGAACTACAGGTGTGTGCTATTGTGCTCGGCTAATTTTTGATTTATTGTAGAGATAAGGTCTTGCCAAGTTGCCCAGGCTGGTCTTGAACCTGGGAGCTCAGGCAATCCACTCGCCTCAGCCTCCCAAAATGCTGGAATTACAGGCTGAGCTACCGAGCCGGGCCCACAAAATTCTTTCTAAAAAATCTAACATGTATAAGGTATTCATGAAACATAAACTAATTTTGTGTTAAGACTTGCGTCCCATCCCCAAGATATCTCATGATGTATATATAAATATCCCCATATCTGAAAACATCCAAAATCTGAAATACTTCTGCTCCCAAGCATTTTGGATAAGGGATACTCAACTTGTACTGCTATATCCATCCACATTATGTAAAGCCACCAGAAGAACCGGTCCTCTGGGTAGGGTCTTCTGTACTGTTTTTCACAGCTTAGATTCGATCTTAAGGCTTTCTTTAAAGATGTGGCTGGTATACACAGGAGTGTGAATCTGGGCCAATTAAAGTTCTTCTCTTAAAGGCTTTTTTCTGTTGCACTGGCAGATGGATGTGCTGTCATCCGGCTGAGAAACAAGTTCCATTCCATCATGGATTTCGGGTTTGCTGGACTGGCGCTCGGCATATTTCTGAAATGTGTATGTGAAAGAAATTGAAACATGAGTCCACACTTGATTCCATTGACGCCTCCACCCCACCTAAGTCCTAGGTCGAGCTCTTTTCTAGTTGCTGTGAATCTTTAGACTAAAACCAAAGGTCTGGTTTATCCCAGTCCTAAAGTTGTATTTTAGCTTTCGCTATTATAGGCATTAGTGATATTTCACGATCTAGCCAGAAACCCCAATCTACAATTTCACATCTAGCAAAAGCTGGCTGTATCCTCCATTGTTAATGAATAATTAACTTTGTTGAATACTCTAAAGGTGCAAACAAACATGATGAGCATCTCAAAATAAAGTTGGTAGACTCATGCTCTAGGCCTTTCCTTCAGGCCTGCAGTCACACACACTTTTAATTGGTCACAGATCAGTGACATGCTTCCCCATTCTGGGAGCATGGACTGAAATATTCCTATAAACTGGAGGAGATTTCAGTTCAGTGGTTCTGTGTTCTCTTTAGCTGCACATTCCTGGTATTGGGCCAAACCCAACAAAATGCTGACGTGAGTAGATGAGTCTAATTGATGTTTTAGGGGGAGAAACTCTTACTATTAAAATTAGAGCTAGACTGGTAGAGAGGACAGAACCAATTTAAGGGAAGGGAGGGCTGATTCTAGTAAATGGCATCATTTATCATTTATCATTTTTCTTTTTTTAATTTTTATTTTAAAGATGTGAGGTATAATTCAGGGTTAGGTATACAAATGGTCATTCTACAGGTAAAGTATGAGTCTCACTTTGGTCCCTATTTCACCTGGCTTGAGACCAGATACCCTTATTAAGAAAGTATGCTCCCCGTAGCAGTTTCCCAATACTGACAATCCTTTTCTCGTAGTATTATATCATTTTTATTTTTCTGTGAAAATAAAAAGATGAGAGGGTAGTATTCACAGGCATTTGAAGAAATTTCCTTTCATTCTGCCTACAGAAAAATAAATTTAGGTTAAGACCAAAAACAGAATTTCCAATTTTTTTCTTCCTGTTTAGATTTTACCAAGGAAAACACAGAACTCAAGAGACCAATCTGTGGATTCCCGGTAAACATCTGTGCTCCAGGATTTAGCCCTAAGGTGTTGGCACTATTCTAAATATTTTTCATTAGTTTAATTGCTTTTTTTTTTTTTGAGTCAGAGTCTCACTGTGTCGCCCAGGCTGGAGTGCAATGGCATGCTCACAGGCACCGCAGCCTTGATCTACTGGGCTCAGGTGATCCTTCTGCCTCGGCCTTCCAAGTAGCTGGAACCACAGGCATGTGCCACCATGCCCGACTAATTTTTTTTACTTATTGTATAGACGAGGTCTTGCCATGTTGCTCAGGCTGGTCTCGAACACCTGAGCTCAGATAATCCTCTCGCCTCCACCTCCCAAAGTGCTGGGATGACAGGCTTGAGCCACCACAACCAGCGCAATTTAATTGTTTAATATAGCAAGCTAAATATTTGCTTTCCACCCTGTACTGTAGAAATTACTAATTTAGGTAGCAAGGGGAACAAGGAGGTAACACTTTGAGTAGGAAGAAATGTTAATGACCTCTGGTCCAACCCTCTTATTTTCCAGATGAGGAAAACGTTCTCTGATGCGAATTCTAGAATACCTAAGCTAGAGATTCCACAAAGCAGTTAATAAAAGAAAAAAATGCCAGGCTCGGTGGCTCAGCCTATAATCCTGCGCTTTGGGAGGCTGAGGTGAGTGGATTGCCTGAGCCCGCGGGTTCGAGACCCGCCTGGGCCACTTGGCGAGACCTCATCTCTACAATAAATCAAAAAATTAGCTGGGCGTGGTAGCGCGCGCCTATAGTTCCAGCTACTTGGAAGGCTGAGGAGGAAGGATCGCCGGAGCCCAGCAGGTTGATGCTGTGGTGGCCGGGAGTGGCCACTGCACTCCAGTCTGGGCGACAGAGTGAGACTCCAACTCAAAAAAAAAAAAAAGAAAGAAAGAACTGACAAGATAGGAGGGGTTTCTAATCTGTATCTGTGAGGGCTCCAAGCATTGTTTCTCATCCTATGGAAAGGAGATAAAAAACATGGAGGCCACGAAGGGCCCTAGCACCAGTCCTGTCCCTCCCTAGGCTAGTGCTTTGGTTTAGCCAGCTGGCTGACTCTCTGAGCCCTTGAGGAAGCAGGGCACAAAGCGCTCGGGCTAAGCACGTGGTCTGAGGACACCTGACCCAGTAGGGCAGACACTCTGAGCTGACCTGTAGCACTCTGTAATAGTAGCAGTAAAGCCTGTGTGGCTGTAGTAGATCCCTGGCAGCCAGCTGTCCTTCTTTGGCAATCTTCTTAGCTTCTTGATCATTTTCCTGAAAGATTAAAAAAAAAAAAAAAAAGAATGAAAATTACTCCGGTGAGCCACAAAGAAAGCGAGGGCTGACTGTGAGGTGGAATGGATGCGGGCTTGAAAGTGAGCAGCATGGGACAGATGGAACATGATGAAAATAGAACTTAAGAACGAGGCTGTAGAAAGAGGTAGAAGACTTCTCTAAACAACTCTGTGAAAGAGACATGGTCATACGTGTTTGGCCCCTCTTCCACAGATTCAGTAGCCCACTTCCTCTGGCCACAGTGCAACCACCTGTATGCAGCCTCGACTATGGCCATTCTGACACTCTCCTAGCTGCCCAGGAAGTAAGCCTGGAGTTCTTTACCTGTCCCACCAACCAAGGCCTCTCTGCCTGACGGTAGAACCGAATCAGTTTCCACATTATAACATCTTTTAAAAGCTCCGTGTAAGTATGTAGCCAGAGCTAAAAAGCCATGTTATAAAACAGTAGCTATGAACGACTGTACTGTTTTTGTAATTAAAAAGTTCAGTCATTAGTACTCTGAGGATGTTCATTCAGTCGGTGTTTCTAATTATACTTTTGAAAAATAGTGAATCTTCTACCGTGCTGTCCACAAGAAAAGCCGTGTGCAAGCAATTATGGCTCTTATAAAGAGTCACAAAATGATTCCGTCTCAGGTACCCAGCTATTTCCATAACCATATAATGCTACTTAGAAAGCTAGAAACAGAATAGTTTTATAACCCAAGAGTAAATTTTAGTAGTTTTATAATTTTGAAGTTTTATATAATAAAACAACAGCTAATTAATACATTTCCTTTAAAAAATGAATTCCAACTTTATAGGAAATGTGTGGTTCTTGGAATATTATATAGCAAGCATGCCTTTTTTTTTCTAACTGGGGAGGAATACTTTAATTACCTTAAGTGTTTTCTTGTGCATAAAGAACTTTAACTCTGGTCTTTTCCACCAGTAATTTGCATTTTGTGTGTTTTTATTTGTGTGTGAAAGCTGAATAGCGATTCATTTAGAAAGTCTATATTCTAAATAACAATGGACTTTAAATCATCGGAAAATCTTCATAAATGTTATTAGAGTGTATACACAATGATTCTGATTCTTTGGATATTTCTTTTTTTTTTTTTTTTGAATTGAAGTCTCACTCTGTCGCCCAGACTGGAGTGCAGTGGCCGCTTGTGGCCACCGAATCCTCAACCTGCTGGGCTCTGGTGATCCTTCCGCCTCAGCCTTCTAAGTAGCTGGAACTACAGGCGCGCGCTACCACGCCCGGCTAATTTTTTGATTTATTGTAGAGATGAGGTCTCGCCAAGTGGCCCAGGTGGGTCTCGAACCCGTGGGCTCAGGCAATTCACTCACCTCAGCCTCCCAAAGCGCGGGATTACAGGCTGAGCCACCAAGTCCGGCCTTTTTGGATATTTCAAGGGAACAATGATTTTAAAAATAATATTTCTTTTGATTACACTTTGTCAAGTTAAGTTAGGTTGTAATGGAACTCATGTAACTAATACTGGCAAGTTTATTATTACCTAAAGAAATGAAAATTGCAGAAAGCGTACCTTGGCCCACTTAACTTTCTCTAGTAAGTCACTAAGATTTCTTTTAATTGGAACATAATGCTTCCAAGGCTGTAGTGCTGCGTAGAAATGTTCGTAATACGGTGAGTCCTGCTTTAGAACCAAACTATCGCCCAGCATGAGATACGGATATCTATAGGCAGCCACGGTCCCATCCACATTCACTTGGTACTTGTACTGAAAAATTAAAAACAAACAAATATAAACATTTATATTTATTTATTTACTTATTTATTTTTTGAGTTGGAGTCTCACTCTGTCACCCAGGCTGGAGTGCAGTGGCACATTCAACTCAGGCGATCTTTCTGCCTCAGCCTTCCAAGTAGCTGGAACTACAGGTGCACACCACCACGCCCAGCTCATTTTTTGATATATTGTAGAGACGAGGTCTCACCAAGTTGCCCAGGCTGGTCTCAAACCCAAGGGCTCAGGCAATCCCCTCACCTCAGCCTCCCAAATTGCTGGAATTGCAGGCTTGAGCCACCATGCCAGGCCTAGTGATTTTTTTCTTAAATAACTGGTACCAAGGAGTTTTCTAGCCAGTCAGATTTTGTCACATCGTTCACATCTCTATCTCACTTGAGCCTCTTGATAATCCTCTGAAGGAGACAGGCAGGCATCGCATGCGTTTAGAGACCAAGGCACTAAGAGATGGTCCCACAGTTGGTGGCAGAGGCAGGATTAAAGACAGGACTTGAACTCCAATCCCAACGTCTATTTCATGTATTTGGAATTTTTTCTATTTACAAAAGACATTTGAGATCACTTTATGTAAATATATTTACACTCACAGTTTATTAAAGCAAATATCAAAAAAAAAGAAAAGAAAACAAAAAAAAAATACACTAAAATCCCAGGTTAATCTTTGCACTATATTTTAAACATTAAGGACAGTTCTGAGCTGTTTGGTAGATAAAGTTATCAACAGCAAAAGAAGAAAGCACAGTGACTTTTATAATTCCTGGTATCTGATTAGGAAGTGTGAGCATATATGTGCTAGTTCACAAGACTGGAGACATTTACCTAAGACCATCTGTTTGGTGGATTTTTTTTTTTTTTGAGTAGGAATCTCACTTTGTTGTCCAGGCTGGAATGCACTGGCCACCACAGCCTCGACCTGGTGGGCTCAGGTGATCCTTCCGCCTCAGACTTCCAAGTAGCTGGAACCACAGGCACATGCCACCACACCCAGCTACATTTTTTGATTTAATGTAGAGAAGAAGTCTCACCAAGTTGCCCAGATTGGTCTCGAACCCCTGGACTCAGGCAATCCTCTCACCTCCACTTTTCAAAGTGCTGGGATTACAGGTGTGAGTCACCACCCCTGGCTTGATAGATTTTTAATACTAGTTTATCACTTTGTATCTATACAGGAAGACTCAAATACATACCTTAAAGAAATCAAAGAAACCCATCAACTTGGCTTTTCCAAGCTCCTTTTCTTTCTCTTGGAAAAAGAAATATCCTGTAATTCCTGCATCCAGTAGCTGTGGATTTTCTTTGGACATTTGTACCAATTGAAGCCTCTCTTCTCGGCTGTCTCTACCTCTGAAGAAGGCTTTCTCTGTTTTATTGATCCAGGAAGGCCCTAGAAGTGTGAGGCCATAAAAAATTATGATGATGAATTTGACATTTTTATAGGGTAAGCATAATCATCTTTAATCTACCACTGCTGTTTGTGATGTTAAAGTTCTTTTATCATCAACTCATCTTCTAAAGTAGATACTATTTTCCAAAAACTTGAGTTGTCTCAATTTGTCAGAGATGCTTCCATGTTTAGGCTTTCAAAAAGTCCTTCTGTTTGCTGTGTTATGTAAAAGAATGCTCTAATGTCACTCATTTGTCTACTCATGAGAGATCACACAAGTATTGGTGTTTTCTGTTGTACAATAACAGGAAACATCCAAAATAACGTCAGACTATGTTCAAAGCAAAAAAGAGATCCATGACTTGGTTCACTCACCAAGGCATCAGCTTCTTGTCTTTTGTGTTTCACAAACAAACATGAACTAAGCTTTTGTTCTTAGGCAGAGTGACCAAAAAAACTATATAACTAAGCAACATCCACAAATCTTTCATCCTTAGGTTACTCAGAATTTTGAATTTGGGAAAGATTTTTTCCAATATGCTGTTTAATGCAAATATATATGTATAATTCAACCATATGTATATATGTATTTATATCCTCTATTTCCTGAAAGGAAGGAATTTGGAAGAATTAATTTCAATCTATTTTTATTATTCTAAAGAGAGAAGTCATTGGTTAACATTTGTCAGGGTTCTAAGGGATAGATCATAAAATGTAGAAATTGGAGATCACTCTTTTTACTATTTTAGCACACTTTTCAGGAATTCACTGTTATATTAAAAGTAGGTCAGTTTTCATCTCATGTTATCTTTAGTTAGTGACAAAAAGTAACTTACAAAAATATTCTGATCTTGACCAAATAAGTTCACCAATAGAGGTTATAAAGACAAGACGGGGTTTCTTTCCTACTCAGGGAGTTTAGTTTAATAAAAAGATAGGTTCTACCATGAATCTAAGGGCACCAAACAGAGAGAAGGGAATTCAGATTTTAAAGGCTCAGGAGAGGTAGAAGAAGGGAAGGGGAGGATGCCCTACAAAGTGTGTGGGAGGTAGGAATATCCAAATTATACTGCTATCACAATTCTCTTATGATTGCATATCACCTTATAATTTTTAAAATTCTCTGTCATTCCACCCCACGAAATAAAGGCATTGGCGTCAGAATTAAGTGAAAACTTTATCAAATATTTATGTTCAAATGCCATTTACAAGAGACTGACTCAAAGGAGACTCCGCAAAGGTAGGTTTGAACATTACTAGCCCAGACCATGTATCTTTAATTCTTGGATTAGAAGGACCCTACATAAACCACTTCAGCATTTAGGGTGCTGTTTTTTTTCTTTCTTGGTTAGAAAATAAGAAGAATAGTCATGTAAAAATATACATTTACTCTCTCTGAATATTCCCTTCACCTTTTCCATCTCTAAGCTGTTTTTTAGAGAATTAATCTTAACTTACCCGTATTTCCCTGAACAGAGAGGAGATCATTTGTAACACCCCTCATGGCTTCAAGTGTGGAGTGGGTGATGTCATAAGTTGGAAGGATAACATCTCTTGAATCCAGAGAGCCACACCATGAAATAATAGGTATAGGACCAGGTGTTTCATTGACTTTTCGATGCTCCAAGGGCCAATCTCCAAGATTAATATAAAATTCTAAATCTGGGAGAACGACCTAAATAAATAAAAATATAAACATCAGAGCTGGAAGACCTCAGACTTTGGTGCAAAATACTGCAGTTATTTGGCTTTCCTAAATATATGATAGAGCTGGCCATTCACAAAAAGTAAGAGAGAAGAATGCCTCTCAATCTTTGGCAGATTTAGAGACTCACAGGTGAGGATGGTATGTGTCAAATTCGCTCAACCAGGAGTCGGCTACCTCTGTCTAGATAATTATCATACTATAAGAAACCGGATTCGGTGGCTCAGCCTGTAATCCCGTGCCTTTGGGAGGCTGAGGTGAGTGGATTGCCTGAGCCCGCGGGTTCGAGACCCGCCTGGGCAGCGAGACCTCATCTCTACAATAAAT